GTGAGGGATCGCGCGCTAGTTTCGCCTGACCCGAGGCACGCCGAAAACTGCCTTCGCGCGAGGTCCCACGCTCTGAGGGACCTAGCCTACGGCGTCACGACCTATGAGAAAGTGGGCCACAGAAACATTACAAAGTCACTCACCCAACCCACTGCATCGTAGGGGATCCCAACTACAGAAACCGTTAACTGACTGCCCAAACAGGTTTTCCTGAGCAGTCAATCCCGTGACGGCCGCCAAGTTCCTCCCAATTGACTCCTCAACCAGATTGCTTAAATCTACCAAAGCACATGTTTATTCATACCAAAGTCAACACTACCGCCTAGTTTTATATATACAGGTGGTCTAGTACAATCTTCTATGGCACAGAGGTGGCCTCGATCATGCTTGCATCTTCTTTTTTGTTGATCAGAATCGAAAAGTACATGCTTGGTTTGGTGAAGGCCAGTCTTCCACCCAATGCCTTCCTGATCGATCCCGGGCACATGCATCACCAGGATTCTGTAACGCCGCGCTCCCTCAGCTTCTTCCCGGTTCAACTCATCTCCCTGGCTGACACCAACTTCTTTGTCTTCACCTTCACAACTCCACCCCTCTACTCAGATTTCTTTGTCAATGATGAATCACAGAGTAACGCTGAGGCCGAGTGGATTCCTGATGAACTCATCCTCCTCTACCTCCTCCGTGTTAACATAGTTGTGAGTTGTCTTTTTCCGTCAAAGTTTACCCTGCAGTTTCGCTCACACCGGCCGCTATCATCATCTTATATGGTCTAATGGGAATAATCTTTGGTAGGACTGCCTTTAGGGGTTCTATTTGTGTTTGGCTTAAAACAATAGCCTACTTTTACACTTTCAGTAATCCGGCATTGTTTTTTTCGTTAAATTCTGCCAACATAAGGTCGAGCTTCCCCTTTTTTCATTGAATTCCGCCAAATAAGGTTGCATTTCCCTCACTAGGCATCAGTTGCTTGAGAAACGGCAGTTTCTGTCGATGAATTTGATTCAATTTAGTACATTGAAACAAATGTAAGTTTCCGTTGACTCAATGTGATAACTTCGCGCCCTCGGTGGGAGTCGAACCCACACAACAGGGAAGGAATTTAGCACGGCCAATGCTCCACCATTGAGCTACGAGGCTCAGCGTGTGCCGTGAGTTTAATCACACTTGGATTAATCTACCCGCCCAACTTACTGTTTGTATGGAATCCATCGGCACAGAACAGCAAGCTGACTGCTTACGCAGGGTTTCCTAAGCAATCATGCAGAATCCACCAGAATGACAACTACGCTCACTTAATTGTTAGGGGGGTTTGGCAGATTTGTTTAATTCAGCTGACCCAATAACAAATATAAGTTTTTCTAATTGAATATTTTTTATAACTTCCAATACACTACAACCGCTAACCAACCAAAATTACGTTAGACATTTGGGCGGGGGGATAGAGATTTGGGCGGCCCTACAAGACAGTTTGGTAAGAGTACCTCATGGGGTCGCAGAAGGGTCCTTATTTATTATAACCACCTACTTACAAATTTTAAGTAGTTCGAATTACCCACAATCTTCCAGTTTTCTGCATGCCAGCCGTCGATCAAGCAGGGATTGGATGATGGCATTGGACTGCAGAGTGGTCTTCGGAAGCCAACCGCATACAATAACGCTTAAGTCCGTACACTAAGCAAAGATGGCTTTTCAAATTAAACATGGGAATAATCGCCTACTAACAAATTTTATGTAGGGTGAATTTACACAATTTTAAACCTTGTTCGCCTTTATTCTAGTTGGGGTTAGGGGTGCTACTAGGAAATGTACCTCAATGACCTCGTCCGAGGTCAGGGCACACTCCCCCTACATACACGCGATCGCCGTTGGTCCGGTGGAAAGGTTATTAAAACGTAATTCAGTGTCCTCGCCCGAGGTTTGAGTGCGTACCCCCAACTTACCCTCGTAACTTTTTTTACAGGATTATTGCGATCTAATTTGTTCCCTGACATGCCCAAACCGCCCTCTCGCCTACAATCATGAGCCCGAAAGACCAAGGGGCGGACTTAGCGCGCCCTCCAGGCGGCCCCACGAGGTACTCCTACAGACGGTTTTGCCCGATCCATTATATTTAACATCAAGAAAACTAAAAGGCCTAGAATTCTGTGGTATGCGGCCGGTGGTAATAGAGGTTACACGGATGGGGCATTACGGAGAAGTGGGAGAGAAAGAACAAAAAATATAGCAAACAAAATCAGGAAAAAGATTGATAAAATTATCATAAAATGCTAATATATAGCAGTGAAAACGCGCGCGGTAATTGAAAAATCAACAGAAAGCAACTTGCGACAAATCAGAGGTAACTGAATAAACTGCCTGTGACTAAATCAAATCCAGTCAGTAGACAATGGGAAATACAGTCAATAGAAAGCAAGGAATGTGAAACTGCAACCTCCAGCTAGCCACAAATATTTGAGTGATATGGGCGTGCCGTTACCGACTTAATGTCCTGTCCGCTGCCCGTTACCCTAATTTCGGCTCATTGTCAAAGTTATACGGCAGAGGTTAGGGTTTGGCTTCAAAGTTACGGCTAGAACACGACAAGAGGCATCCTGACCGAAAATCGGCACAATCTCCCCTGCGGCTGGGGACTTCTATGCCCATGTATTGACGAGTGAAATATTTTTGTAAATTCATAACAACGGGTGCATGAGGATGGAACAATATTTTTTAACGTAGGTAATTTTACGCTGACTAGTTGTACCGGTT